AAAATAAAATATGTTTCTTATATGATTTCTCAAATTAAAAAAATTAAAAATGATTACTGATGAAACTTATTTTAATTAAAAATAAAATATATTTCGCTATTGATTTTTCAAATTAGAAAAAATAGAAAATAATTTGATCAAATTACTAACGGATAGGTAATTAAATACATAATTAATTAAAATTCGTCGCTAGTGTTCATTGGTATATATGCATGGATTACTTATATCTAATTGATGGTTAACTTTACCATCGTCAGGCGCTCGAACACAGTAACATGTTAATAAGTGTGAAATATCGTGTTTGAATCTTGTCAGTGATATCATTTTACCGACGGATTAGCAACGAATTTTAATTAATTATGTATTTAGTTAAATTTATTAGTCAGCAATATAATAAAAAAATCTATATTTTTTTTTTTTTTGAAAAATCACCAACGAAATATATTTTATTTTTAATCCAAAAAGATTTCATCAATAATCCTTTTTAAATCTTTTTTTTTAATTTGAAAAATCACATACGGAATATATATTCTATTTTTAATTAAAATAAATTTAATCAGTAGTCCTTCTTAAATTTTTTTTAATTTGAAAAAAACGTTGACATAATATATTTTATTTTTAATTAAAATAAATTTCATCAATAACTTTTTTTAAATGTAAATATTTTTTTTGTATATTTGTTTCATTTTATAGATGTTACTTTTTTTGTTTAGAAAATTTTAAGAACTTAATCGTTCAAAATATGAAAGTCTTTTGGTTTTTTTCAGAGTTTTTCCATTATTTTACCACATTAACCAGTTGCATAGGTCATAAGCATGTATCTAACAGGTTTTAGAAAGTTCAAAAGATTACTTAACACGTTTTAGAATGTCCAAATGATTTATTTGTTTCAAAAAGTTGTGTAATGACTTAATCAAATAAACACTAAAGTCTATTGGTTTTTTAGATTTTTCCCTTTATAAAATACATAGTAACCAGTTTTTAATTTCTTTTATTTACTGATATAATAAGGGAAATTATTAAAATATCTATTTTTCGGGTTAATTTTACTTTTTAGCCTTTTTTTTTCTTTTTAGTTTTACTAAAATAGCCATAGATCTGTTAAAACCCTTGTCCGTAATTGTAGACTTAGCTAAAAAATAAAAAAATAAAATATAATTTTCACCCACATTTGCAAAAAAAAAAAAAAAAACTAGGGCTATTTTAGTAAATCTTGTAAAAAACGGCTAATAGATGAAATCAACCGGTAAAAATGGCTATTTTAGTTAATTTTCCTAAAAAGTAATTTACTTGTTTAACACATGTTTAATGATTTGATATAGAATAATTAAAAGTAATGGTTTAATGAGCCTATTAACAAGTATGACTTAAGGGTTGTGTGGTTTGTTTTTATTAAGTTTTGTACGGATAAGGGTGTTTATAGTGATAAATCTATCTGTATGATATTTGATAAGTTTTATTCGGTTGTTATGCTGAATAAATCGTCTGAACGGTGAAAATCACTATTTTGCCCTTTATTTTTCATTGAACATTCAGTTCCATCAATTCAACTACCAAACCAATTGATTTCTCCTATGATTCTGCGATGGTTGTTTCATCAAACCAATCGATTTGAAAGGGTCGTTTCATCACCACATGAGAGGAGGATAAGCAAAGATAGATCAAAACCGAACCCAAAACCAACAACGATTTAGTAAAAATTCATCGCATAAAGTTTATGATACAAACCTAAATTAAAAATTGGATTTGACCCTAAATCAAAAACTCACATCAAACTCAAACTCACGAGTAAAAAAAAACAACAGATCCAAGGCCTTATCGTAACTATGGATCCATGATAAGGGTTGTTGATCGAGTGAGGGTTTGTACAAGAAGGAAACCCAAAAAAAATGTTTGTTTGGTTGCCTCTATAATCAAGCTAGAAAGCTGGAGAACAAAAAAGGGATAGGTCACGAATACGATGCAAATGGGAGCGATCTCCATGTTTCTTCATTTTTGCAACGATGGAGAGACAATGCAAATGGAGAACATATTTGAGATGGTTGATTTGTATCATAATCTTCCCGATTTGAGAGGGTCGATGTGCGAGGGAAACATGAGCATCACCGGTAATAGATTGATGGAGGAGGAGGAGGATGTGTATGTCTCCAAGGGTAGTAAGGGAAAGCAATCGGTTGAATGTAAACAAGAGTTTTCCTCTATATGACCAAATAAACTATTGATTTCCAAATTAAACAATGACCGAACGACCATATATTGTTGAGGGAATAAGCTATATAGGTTATACAACCCATTAAGCCACAATTGAATAGCCCCTTATTTGGTACGTCGTACATGGTTGTTTGTTTGCAACTTATTCTTCAAGCAAGTGATTTATTCAAACAACTAACCCACTTCAACTTTATCCATAAAGCCCAAACTTTTTCCAAAAACACCATTGTATGCCCTTGTTATCTGGTTTATACAACACTTAAAATTCAATGCAAAAATAGATTTTGGCGCATATATACCCCTTAATCTACTATCGTATTGTAACAAGTAATAACTGTACAAGTACCGAATATCGTTCCCACAAAGATGGTTGTTGCTAAAGTCTTTCAAATTCGGTTCTTAAAAACTGATTTCAGATGGCAAATTTTAAGAAATCTTTTGGTTGGTTGGTAAGTTATCAACTACAGAAAAATCAACTATAAGAAGATGCAAAATGCGTAAAAGTCTGTCAAGATAAAAACAAGTGATCCGGTAAAAAGATATTATAGCAGACTAACGTTATCTCATAATTAATATTTAAAGTAACTTCTTGAAAGCTATACATTTCCATACAAATAATTAGTTGTCAATTAACTAAATATAGTCTTTAATGAAATATTAATATTGTAATTTAAACAACTTTAGACTAAATGTTATATTCGAGACACCTTCTTACCTTATTATCAGTCTAAATCTTAACTTTACTTTGCATTTCAAACTAAGGTTATCAGACTATCATCGCGAGGTTTATTTTTACAAAAGACATAAAGACTTTAATATAAATGAGAGATATAGAAAATGCATAAAATAAATTGCAAGTGTTACAGACTTTAATTATTAAAGAAATTGCAAAAAATAAATGGTGCGGGAATATAAATAACAACAAATAAAGTGCATAAAGTAAATTGCATAAATTAAAAAAATTGAATGTAAATGACAATAAATTAAATGCAAATGACAATAAATTAAAGCAAGAAATGTAAAGCTCTAAAAATAAAAAACAATTAAAAACTTGCACATAAAGTTTCGTTCCAAACTTAAAGTATTTGCTTAGTTTATTTGAAAACCTCATATTTCGGCTTTTTAGATACTTATCACCGGCCACAACTTGGAAATTAAATCAAATGTAAAGCCACAATCAAGCGTTCTTTAAAAATCAAACCGAAAAACAAATATTTCAAGTCATGGACGGACCCGCTGGGTGGTTAGGTGGCACGTGCTAACGTATTATTTCTCCGTCGAAGGGTAAAAAATTTAGATTTGTAAACGGTGCAACCGTATCATTTTAGAACGTGCTATCGTATTTTCCTGAAACCCACATTGTGCAACTGAAACCCAAATAAAACAAAGCCCAAATGGCCAAATCAAAAGCCTAATATGCAAAGCCCAATTAAAACTTAGCAACCGACCAACGAGATTACGAGAACGATCAGGAACAGGTCCAAGTCGGCAAGCAAGTCCAGACCAACAACAACGAGTGAGTGACGGAATGTGATAACCAGATCCTGGTTATTACCCAAGGTAATAAATATGTGATTATTTGATTAAATGATTACGTGATAGCATGATAATTGATACATGCTGGTATGAGAAGTTGTGCATTAATTAAATATATATATATATATATATATGCATATAGAAATACATGATATATATATATATATATATAATTATATGCATAAGATATATTATGCATGCATGAGGTATGAATGTATGTATGTGTGTGCATGTGTGCATGATGGTATATGCATTAAGGTGGAAAAGGGGGAGGGAAGGCGGTTTAGCCGACCTTTCCACTTTTGGCAAGTATAAAAGAGGCTTAACCTCWCCCTTTACTTCTTCTTACTTATTTTGAGAGGAGTTTTGCTTTTAAAAAGAAAAGTGTTGTACGGATTGCTTGTGCTAGGTTGCAAAAGGGCTGATTTCAAGAATTTGGTTTCAAAAGCTTGTTAAGGTGAGTGGTTTCTAAACCTTTTTGTACAAAATTACTACTGGTTTTATTTGCATGTTTCATGTTATTATTCTTTAGAAAGAAACCTTGCATATTTTCGTTTAAGTGTTTATCCGGACAAAGAGTGACAAATAAGTATTTAAACCGGACAAGCCTTGAGCGGCTTATTGTCCGAATTAGTTTAAACCGGACAAGCCTTGAGCGGCTTATTGTCTGGATTAGTTAAACCGGATAAGCCTTGA